CCTGCATTTAAAATGAATATTTACCACAAATTAAAGGTATCTTGTATTATTAGATATATTATTATAAAACATGCTTTAGTTAAGGAGTTATTGATACTTCAAGTGCAAAATGATGATATAAAACCATGATAAAAATGCACTTTTAAGTACTAATCAAGTACATTCTTTCATTCATTTCATAAATGCACTGTGCAACCTCATTATTTTGTTAGATGTATTATGAGGATTCATATGCCCCAACCTATCCATAGGAGTGGTAGGGTCAAAGTTTAATGATACAACCAAAATATTGATATCTTCTCCTAAGTGCAGGAGTATTGAAGTAATAAATAACCAGCCAAGACCAGGATCGAACCACAAGGAGGTTAACTATAAAACAACAACAACAACAACAACAAAGAGGTTCTACTAATGGTATGTCAAACAAGTATAGTATAAATTCTTATTATTCAACTAGAAACCACACACAAAGGAGGTTTCAATTGGATTATAAATTCTTAACATGATTACATTAGTTATTTTATTTGAATAATGTTAATACTTGTAAATATTATCATGTATTCATGATTATAACTTATGTTAACAACAAATCAATTTCCTTTCATAGCTTAAATGTTAGTTATACCATACGGTTGGGCTATGAAAATGCCAAGTGTTTGTTGTACCAAAAGTTATACAACACAAATCTAGATTAACTATTTAACAAGTAAAGTATTAAAAGTGAACAAGATAACAAATACAAAACATTTTAGTATCAAACATTAAAGTTCATATTGAGTTTACACTATACTTATTCTTACACCATTAGTTTAACCTTTTCACCTTGATATAATAAACTTAACTAAACATAATAAAAGCGAGAACCACAAATAAACATCATAAGAACATAAATAAGATAAAAGTTAATTAAGTAAAAGAAAGAAAATGAGAAGCATAAATAATCATTAATATAAGCAAAACTTAAGAATTACAATAAAGAGAGAGCAAGAACATGATTTTGATCTGAAAACCAGGATGTCTAAATGCATATCAAATGCCTCCTTTTATAGGCCAAAATTAGGAACTATTGATTTGATGACTAATTATTGAGTGGGTGGCCAACCCTTGACTTGGTGACAATCCTTATCTTCTTGTCTGCTAAAAACGTCATTGTAAACATCAGAATTCGAACAGACTTATATCCTGAAAGTTTTAGGAAATTGTCTCAACTTTCCATAAAAAAAAAATTGAGGTTATTTTGATGTCTAAAACTCATGATATGGGCTGAACACTGAATAGTATATGAGCTAAACACTAAATAGTATTTGGGCTATAGGATAGATTCTGACTTCTCTCTTGATGCTAAAATTTGGACTTCTAAATGGCAGAATTCAACTTTGGATAATTCATGAATGTTTTAGGCCTATATCTTATCTTTTCATCCATAGAAATAAATCAGACCCAAATCTAAGTATTACAACTCCAGATATGACCTAATAACTAAATGGTGTTCCAGTTTGGACTACACTAGTATCTCTTTTCTAAGCTTAGCCCTCTCTTTGTTTTCTCAATTTCAGCTCTCTTTGTT